AAATTTGTATTTCTCATAATTTTGTTCCTATGTGTTGTTTACTCGGTAGACGTTATAATCTAACGACATCGACAAATAGAGAACTAGATCAAGTATCGTGTGGTTTAGTTAAAACTAGGCTCAAGGAAAGCATTACCAAACTACACGAACTAATTAGAACCAAAACTAAGCTTAGACAATCTCTCTCTGAACTATTCAATGATGCGGATTTTATTAAGTTACAAAACATGGCTGACGGGTTAGCAGAGGTGATTGACAGAACTACTCGTCGGATACATTATAAGAAGCTTTAGAATTTAGGAAATAGAATAAGGTCGAGAAACGTTGCACCTAAGAAAAATCTTACTAAAAATGTTTGTAACAAAGTGGAGAAGGATAAGGTAATCAATTTATCTAGTACAACTCTGGAGGATGGTGTAATACTTTTATTGGAAAAAGGATTGAATTTTGCTTTTCAAAATGAGAGAAACCATTTTCTGGAAATACTTGTTGAATTAATTAGCTTATCTGATAGATTACCTGAAGAAATAAGGAATAGTATTGAACTGGATGTCATCCCTCATTTTGACCATATAACACCACCTAAGAAAGATTATCAAATTAGTATGATTTCTAGATATCTGTGTAATAAGAATCTAATCGTAACGAAAGCCGACAAAGATGGAGCAGTGGTAGTCATGGATAAGTCAAGTTATGTAGAAAAAAATGCTAGTTCATTTAAATGACAATGACACGTATAGACTTTTATTGTGAGAACCAAGCGAAAGACTTAAGACTAGGCTAAAAGATGCCCTTAAGGTATACGTAAGTAATGTTGAAATGGAGAAGTTGAAAATGAATTCACTACTCCAGAGAGATCCAAAGGCCCCCACTGCTTATGCTCTCCCTAAAGTCCACAAAGAGAGTGCCCCCTAAGATTAATTGTAAATAATAAAGGAAGCGTGATGCATAAAATTTCACGGTTTTTATGCATACAAATAAGGAACTCTGCCAATTATTGACTATATTCAGTTAAAAATTCGTATGATTTTGTGAAATTGTTAGATCAGCCGACAATTTCAGAAGATGATAAGCTATTAAGCTTTAATTTTGTGTCTGTGCACATAAACATTCCTGTGTAAGGAGATATTCAAGCTCTGATACAAACTCTGCAGGAACATCTGGAGATAACACAAGGAATAAAAATGGCAACTTAGTCCTGTTGTCAGGCAGACTTAGTAGAACGCACCTCATCCGAAATCGTCTACCATAGTGGTTGTCATGAGTCCCAGCATTTTGGGCATAACGCCGAATTTCCTTGACCGTTTGCTTATCCGTCTGCCCAACTTCCTCCCTAATCTTTCGCTTCCTTGTGTTGTCCCCGTATGAAGTTATTTTTTCTGTTGACTTCCAATTGATCTCGTGTCCTGTCTGTTCGATGTGTTCAGCTAGTTCTGATCTTTCGGTATCCATTTTCCTACAGAGCCTCTGATGTTCCTTGATTCG